AAATTCTAGGACCTTAGATTAGAATATGCTATACCTTATAATAAAAGCAGTTTTCTATTTATTGCCTAGTTTAATACATACGCAGTTAAAGGCGGAAATAATATCTAGCTTAGTATACTATTTAGCTTTATAGAGGCAATTTAGTGTTTTTTAGATAATAGGAATTAGGTATTAATTCTTTATAGTAATAGCGTTAAGGCCTTAGTAGTTAACGCAGAAGCGGTATATTTTGTCCGGTTTCTTAACTAGAAGAACTAGTGCGTGTATAAAAGAGTTGCTATTTTTAATAAAGCCTTTATCTAGAAGTTTCTAGAGCTTATTATAAATAATATAATTTTTCTCCTCTAAAATAGCTCGGGTCTTATACTTAGGCAGGGGAGCGTCTAGTTATAGAAGAATAGTATAGTTATAGTCTTAATAGAGTGGCAGGTTTCCTACCTTTTATTATAACTATATATTAACCTACAGGTGGAAATATTTATCTAGGTAAGCGCGTAGCTTATTAGGTAAGTATATCTTTTATTCCTTTATAAATTTATTATACTTATTAACGCTAAAGGCGTATAGTTTAAGCGTGCTGTTAGCCTCTAGTATACTAATAATATACCTAATTATAGGTGTATTAAACAGGGAGTTGTTTAGTTTAGGTATAAATTCCGGTCTATAGATCTAAATAAGGTTCTTAGGCTTAGTGCGTTAAATATAGCGTTCTATAGAACTAATAAATATCGCAAATAAGAATATAGATTAAAGCTTATCAGGCCCGGCGGCGTGGGAGGGAGCCCCTTTGCAGAAGATTTTGGCTGGCACGCTATTATAGTAGCAGTATAGATCACGGCATTATAATTAATAGAAATAAAAGCTTTTCTTAATAAAGTTAATTTCTAGATTATAAGTTTTATGCTAATCTATTCCTAGAACTAACGGAATATACCCTAGGTTAGCAACGTAGCAGACTAGCTGCTTAGTATAAAAACCTATAGCAATATTAATAATTGCGGCATAAGTAATAGATTAAGAGGAGTTGGAATTGTTGATATATATAAGGTAATAAGGTGAATTAAAAGGAATTTAATAAATTTTGTATTTGCGCGTAAATAATTAATCTATAAAAGAGGATATTATACTATTATTAGAGAGAGAATATATATAAATAGTTTAATTACTGTCTAAGACTATAGAATAAGAAAGCAGATACTAACTACTTTTTTTTAGCTAGAGCTTTATAATATTGTGCTGGGTACAGGTGATAGCTATAGTAGAAATGCGAAGTTCCGGCTAACTTTCCTTATTCTTAATATACTCTAGTACTTCCTATAGCTAGAAAAAAGTATTAAACTATAGAAGAGGTTCTATAGCCTGCTTTATTCTATACTTTTTAGGTATTCTATAATAGGTACCTCTATATTAGCTTTTACGCAGTTTTCTAGGCTTCCTTTATAGGTCTAGAAGGTTATTAGTAGAAACTAAGTTGCTATATTTAGAGGAAGTAGGTAAAGAATAGAAAGTAGATAATAGGGTAGATAACAGGGTTAATAATAGGGTTAATAACGGGGTGGATTTATAATTAATTATAACGGGTTCTTAGGCGCGACTATATATAAGAACTACTTATTTTCCTAGCCGGAAAACGTAATATCTATAGCGCGGAGAGGAAAACTGCTAGTTATCTAAATAGAGAAGTTCTAAAGAAGGCAGTTATTATTAGTAGCGCGGTAGCCGATGCAATAGCAGTAATTATAAGCGCTAGCTTAATATATCTGCTCCTTATTTTCTATAGAAAGCTTGCCTATACTCCGGATATAAGCCAGCTTATTTTTAGGCTTTATAGTGCGCAGGCGCTGTTCTATACCTAGCGCAGCTATAATAGTATAGGTGCGCAGAGTATTTAGAGTAGTTATAGTACTAGTAGTTATAGTAGTAGTTCCTATTATAGGCGTAGGTAAGTATTCTCTGCAGCTACGGCTATAGCTATAAGTAGACTAAGTAGTTGCTATAGATAAGGTAGCCTAATAAGGTTAGAAAACAAGGGTATTATATTTTTTAGATTGCTGGAAAGCAGTATTCTATATATCTAAAGTATAAATATATTATATAAAGTTATTAAAACAGTAATAGACTACTCTATTTACTAGTTTAGATTATAGGTGCGGTGTAAGATATATTTTAAACTAGTAGATAAGCTCGGAGGGGCTTTAGTTAAGGTTGCTAGTAATGTTAAGGAAATAGTTATAAAAGGCCGTAAATAAATTATTACCTATATAGAAAGTTTTAAGCTATATTAGGGCTTTAGCTTTAATATTATATTTGTTATATCTATTATCTAAGGAGCGGAGGGCTTCTACTTTATTATAGATAATCTATTAGCGGTAATATACCTATACGCGCTTAAATAGTCTACTAAATAGAACGCTCTTAATATAGTTAAGCTTAAAGTTGTCTATCTGCTCCGGAAACGCGTAACGGATTTTAGTAAGAACCTTGCTGCGCTAAATAGGGTAGCTGTTAGTATCCGTTCTATTAAATAGAGCTAGGTTAGGCTAGCAGTAGCTAGGCCGTAAGGAGACTAATAATAAGGGCTAGGTATATAGTAGTATACGGCTACTGTAGTAGCTGCTATTCTTATAGCAATAATTATTATATAGAGAGGGTAAGCGACAGGCCTAGTTATTGCCGCTACTACGCATATTAGCTGTAGGTGGAGCGTACGCGGGCTTAGTATAGTTATCGCAACTATAGTTATTAGGCCTACTAGTAGGCTGTTCTCCGGCCCTACTATCTATCCGCTAATAGTTAATATTATTATTGCGCCGCCTATTTTTATTAAAATAAACGGGTTCTTTAGAAGTCTTAATAGTAGGCTTAGACTATTGTTATTAAAGGTTATACGCATGCAACTTAGCAGCTTAGAGTTTAATATTAGTATAGTTAAAGCGGAGCTTTAAGTCCCTAATCTCCTTATCTATAGTGTTAAATTTATTATAAAAAGTATTTAAGTTCTTTTTCTATTCCTCTATACCGGCTCTATACTTATTAATATAGATAGTAGTGCTTTTAACTAAAGTATATAGCAGCTTAAAGGCTTAGGTAGGCTTACTATTTACCTATACGCGGAATTCTATAGCGTTCTTAAGTAACCTACCTTCTATTTATTTAATAAAATTGTTGATATTATATAAGTTAAGGAGAAGGTTAAAAGTAATAGAGTTTTTATCGGCCTAAAAGTCGGCCGTAATAGTATTAGATTTCTAGGTAGTAAAGGCCTTAGAAATAGCAGTGTTAAGAATCTTACTAATACGCTTGCGCCGCTTATAAAGACAATTCTATTAATTCTTTTTGCGTAAGGATAATTATATAAGGTTTACTAGTAGTGCGTTTTTATCCTTTTTAAAGATATTACCTTAAAAAACTCCTAGTAACTAACCCCCTCTGCACCTATTAAAATATTAGAGTAATAGGGTTACCTACTACTAGAGGGCGTATTAAGCTAATTAGGTATACCTAGTTGCTTATAATAGGGCCTAGGTTTTATATAAGTATAGGAAATAAGTAAGTAAATAAGTAAAAAAAGGAAATATATTAGTAGAAGAGGTTAGTAATTAAGTAATTATATAGCCGAATTTTAAAGCCAGTAGTACTAGTATAGGTATGCGCGTATATAGCAGTGCAGCTATATAAAAAGAAATCGAGGTTTCTATATTTCTAGGTTTTTAAGAATAATATAACCTAGTATTAGGTTTATAGCTAGAAAAGGGTTATATTACTATTAATAAAGTTATATAGAGAAAAGAAAGGCTTTAGCTATAGGCCTGCTATATAGTTAAGCGCGCGCTAGTAGAACCCTAGGCGCCGGCAAAACTCCGGGCGCCGGAAGAACCCTTAGCCCGGGATCACGTGACGTCTATGCATATAATAATCTAAGGCCTTAATAACTACTAAGAAAATACTAAGGAATAATATAATAGTTAGCCTATATTTAAAGTATTAGTAAACTTTTTTTAAAAGATAAAAAATAGACCTAATAAGTAGGTGCCTGTAATTATTACTGCTATATAGGTTACTACGCTACTAATAATAACTATTCCTTAGCTAACTTTTCTACTTAGGTAACTAGCGGCCTTTCTTTCTATAGCACTAATACTATTTTAGCCGGCTAGGAAAATAAGTAGTTTTTAGGCAGAGTTGCGCCTAAGAACTTTTTATAATCGATTATAAAACTACTCTATTATTAACCCTATTATTAACCCTATTATTAACCCTATTATATACTTTTATTTTATTACTAGCTACTTCTAAATATAGTAAACTAATTCTAGGCTAGGCTAAAAAAGCTAGGAAAATATATAAAAGCTAATATAGGGGTATAAAGTATAGAATACTAAAAAAGTATAGAATAAAAAAAACTATAAAACTATAAACACCTTTCTAGCTATAGAAAGTGCTGGAGTATATTAAAAATAAAGAAAGCTAGCCGGAACTTTATATTTCCGCTACTACTATTACTTATACCTAGTATAAAATTATAAAACTATAGCTAAAAAAAAGTAGTTAGTACTTACTTTTTTATTTTATAACTATAGATAGTAATTAAATTATTTATATATATTCTCTTTTTAATAACAGTGTAATATCCTTTTTTTTTTTTAAAACACGATGCAATCGACCCCACAGCATCTTGGAAATACAACCCAAGGAGGGCCCCTAGGGGCTATCCAAGGCCCTGCGAACAATTGTACGCAGCCTCAAAGCCCTACGAGTAGTGCCGGCGGCGTCGCGGTAGGTACACCGCGAATTGCGACCCCTAACGCGCAGCCGCCCCAGCAACAGCATCAACAACAACAACAACAACAACAACGCCAAAACCAACACCAAAACCCGAAGCCCATCAAGAACGTCCACCAGGACGTCCAAGACCTCGTCAACGAAGCACACGGCATACAAGACCTCCTGCGGAATAAGCCAATCCAATCCCTCGAGATGAATGCGATCGTCCAAACCCTCTACGACTTTGCAGGACGCGTCCTGTTCGGCCTCTCGGATACCGCGAACGACCTACGGCAGACACCATGGAAAAAGCTGATAAAGATGATAGAGGACACGAAAAAGGAGGTACACGCGTTGTCAACGCACGGGAAGACGTATGCCGCAGCAGCAGCAGCAGCAGCAGGCACAACACCATCAGCCATGCTAAGCGGCATGGCTGCGCAATACGGGAAGGCAGCAGGAAATGGGCAGTATGCAGGGCAACCTACAAATGTCCATGAAATCACCATCCATATCGAGGATGACAACGAGCGAACCACAACCGCAGCAGATACGAACATAACTATCACCCAGAAGCTTCAAGCAGCCGGACCACCGGACACAACGAAGATTAGCGGCATAAGGAAGCTACAGAGTGGAGACGTCAAGGCATACGTTGCGGATGAGGCCACAAAGGAAGCACTGCTTAAGAAAAGGGAATGGGTGCAGGTGCTGGGCAAGACGGCACGCATACAACTGCCCGCAGTGCTGATAGAGGTGCATGGAGTACCTAAGAACTCGGACCTGGAAAGCCAAACACTTAAAGATAACATTATCAGGGCCAATGCGATAATTAACCCAGGCCTAGTTATTAAGAAGATGACGTGGAAGAACAAGAAGGGCATTAAGGCTGCGCGAGAGGACCCAGGCCGACACGCCAGCTCAATTATTGCCAGCGTGCGCACGGAAGCAATAGCAGACGAAGCTATTATAAAGGGATTTACAATAAGTAGATAATTGCTAACAGCCTTAAGATATAAAGCAGGCTTTATAGCCACACAGTGCTTCAGATGCCAGGGCTACGGGCACGTTGCAAAACACTGCAAGAAGGACATCCAATATGCAGTATGCGCAGGGGAACACGACATAAGACAATGCACGGCAACAGACACTAAGGAGCTGTTCGGTCGCACCGCCCTCAAGTTCAAACTCGAGCTTGTTTTGCCCACGCTAATTACCTGCCGGCGTAGAATAGCGCGTTGCTAGCAGCGGTCAGCCGGACCAGCTGACTCGGAGTTGTAGAACTCGAAATTGGGCTACTGTTCGGTTCTGGTGTTGTGTAGCGCAGGCCTTGGCACCGCGCAGAAACTTCAACCTCATTAAATAGGCCAATTTTTGTATATAATTGTTCGTTCCTGGTGTTGTATAATGTTAAATCGTTAAACCCGCGTCAGTAATAGGACGCCGGCGTCTACAGCAGAGCCTACCGCTATACTACTAGTAGACTCTGCTGTTGCATCTGCGGTTGCGCTTGAAGCTATTACCACTGTTCCACTCGTCAGTTTACCAGCGAAGAGGAAGAGGGTTAAAACAGCTCGTGCACTTGCATCGCTATTCCCTTTGCCCACGCCTCCTCCTCCTCCTGTTGCTACAACTCGCCGTAGCAAGGCGCTTAAGTGGTCGGACGATATAGTGATAGCTATGTACAACGGCCTGCTTGAAGGCGTGAATATAGGCCTCCGTGCGCAGAGCGGTTACTATCCTAGATGCTGGCAAATTGCAATTAAGAGAGTTCAAGCAGTTACGACGCAGCTAATTAAACTCACGCAGATAAAGTTGAAGCAAGCGGACGGGCAGAGGCTCTGGCAGAGCTGGTGGCCTTATTGTAATCACTCCGGCTGGAGCGTTATAGAAGAGGGTATACCTGTTTCCGACCCTAAGGTTATAGAGGCCGACTTTCTGCAGAACAAATCGCATTGTAGATGGCACTATAAGGCGCCTCTCGCGCACGAGCAGATGCATGCTCTCTTTAAAGGGATTGTAGCAACAGGGCAGTATAGTCAAACTGCTTAACAGGCGCGTAAGAGCCTGCGCGGCGATGCGGAGGAGGCCGATATAGAGGAGGCCGCTGTGGAGGAGAAGGAGAAGGAGAAGGCATCGGCCGAAGAGGTAGATAACGAGGAGGACAGTGGTAATGCAGAGCTGCCGCGAACTGCTACTGCTGCACCGTTAGTTTTTAGTTTAGTAGCACAAAGAGGGTCTACTTTATTATCTCGCCCTTCTCCTGTTTCTCCTGTGTCCTCTTAGTTATCTACTCCGGTTACTGCTACTGCAACAACACCACGCCCGTTAGCTACGCCTAGGCCGCCGGTTACACCTACGCCTAGGCCGTTATCAATTGCCCTGCGAAAACGGGCAGCAGAAGCGTCAGCTTATAGTGCAGAAGAGGCTGTAAGGGGGAAGCATTTAAAGAAGCTTACTATCGCAGAATTAATGGCGGAGATTTCCAAGGAGATTATAGCCTCGAGGCATCTAATAAGGCAGGCAGTTGCTCCACCACCTGTAGCAGCAGTAGAGGATCTCTAGAAAAGAGCAGTGGCAGCATTTTTAGAGTATAAAGATATTCTTTTTATTAATAAGCAATTAGCAGTATAAAAGGTATTTAAAGATAATAAGCGGGTAAAAAGCTTTTTTTTAACCTCTAGAGAGCTCTATAATATATAGGTTAGTAAAATTATAGCCTATATAGTGCAGTTAAATATTTAGAGTAGTATTAAGGCTATAGATAATATTAAAGAAAAGCCTATAAAGTAGAAGAAACTAGATTAGCTAGAAAAGAATAAGGAAATTAGGTTAGCTATAAAAGGATAAGGGAATTAGCTTAGCTATAGAAGAATAAAAGAATCGGCTTAGCTATATAAAGCTGTATAAAATAGATAAATTGTATAATATTCTCTATTTTATAGTCTATACTAGACTACTAAAACTACCTAGACTAGCTATACTATACTAAACTGCCTAAACTATAAAATAGAGATATCCTATAATCTATCTATTTTATACAGCCTCGCGTAGCTAAGCCGATTTCCTTATCCTTCTATAGCTAAACTAATTTTTTTATCCTTCTATAGCCGCTATTATATAATCCTTATCTATAATAAACTACTACTATATTCTAATAATTCTAGTAATATAGAAGAAGCTTCTAGTACTGCTAAGGCCGCTGCCTAGTAATTCACGCGTTTTAACGCGTTAAAAGTTGGCTAATTTCCACTAAATAGTATAGAATTACGTTATATATTATAAATTTAGGTCTAAAATAGGGGCGTTTTTTGCTGTATAGCGCTAAATTCGCTACTGCCTAGGCTGCTGCCTAGCTAGTATATTAGTTTTATATTTCTAGATAAAAAAAACGGCTAGGCTATATAAAACTATATAAAATAGATAGATTATAGAATATCTCTATTTTATATACAACCTTAATTCTTTAGTAATAACTTACCTACTACCTTTTCTCTATCTAACTAGTAGTTCCGTATATACTAATTCTATATAATTCTTGTAAACTAATCTCTCCTATTATTTATACTAAACTTGCTCTCTGCTTTAGCTTTAAGGGCGTTCTAAGAATCCGGATATACTAGTTCTTCCGCAGGTATATTTAAATTACTTAGGCGGTTTAAATTAATAAAGTTGTAAACAGCTATATAGCAGTAGACTACTTAAACCTATATATTTAGCAGGAAGTTCGCCCTTAGCGCGTTAAAGTACTAGAATCTTAATTTAAAGATGCCGAATATCCTTTTAATAGTATTGCGCAGAAAGGCGTATTATAAGTTAAACAACTCCTTCTTATTTACTAGCTTTAACCTTACTCTTTTATTCTTTTTTAGGTAATAGCAGACTCTATAGAATAGCGCCAGTATAATAATAGTATTGCTATACCTAGCGTTTACTACGTAGTAACGGCCGCAAGGCACCTTAAATAAATAGTTAGCGTTCCTTACTATAGTAAATACTTGCTAATTATAAGCAGTACTTTTCTATCCCGCTAAGGCGTATACAAAATTGCACTTGAAATTAACAGCCGCGAATATATTCTGCGTTAGTTGTTGCGCCTTACCCCTCTACGCTGCCTAATAATTCTTACTACTATAAATAGACACGGGCAGATATATACTATTAATCGCGCTAAGGCAGTTATAGAAAGCTAGGTTTTATTTTAGGTTATCTAGGATAGTATTAGGCGTTTTATTTCGGGGTAGAACTATAAGCTTAGTATAGAGCTTAAGCAGGGCCGGAATAACCTTATAAACTACACTTCCTAATATATTAGATCTTGCTAATAAACTAGCAGGGCAGCTCGACAGCTTATAAATATATGGTCGACGAGCTATACTACGTATACTTACCAACCTAGTAATAGGAATTATTCGCCGCAAATACTAATAAAAAGATAAGCAACTTCTTTTTTATAGAGAGTAGCGTTATATCCTTTATAAGCCCTATTTCTTATAGGAATTCGGATAGCTTAATAAATATATTAGGTCTTATCCTTACTATATTTTGTATCCTAATTTTATAGCTATATATAAGCGAGGCCGTCTATATTACGCCTTAAAATATATCTATATTCTATACCCTAACGCCTATAGGTTCTTTATACGCCGCTGTTAGGAGTAGGAGAAGGGCAATATTATAAAGCAGCAAGAGGTGGACTAGCAGTGCGGGTGGCGGCGGTGCTATTATTATAAATCTATAGATATTAGTGTTAAGAAATAAGGCTTTACAGGTGTATATAATAAACTTAAACTTGCTTAAGTTCTAAACTTAAACTTAAACTGCAACTTAAAGCTGCAGTTCTAAACTTAAGCTTAACTTAAGCCTTAGCGGCTATATAGGGTTTACTGCGCACGCTTATAGAGTTTTTTAAAGCCGTTAATACCGTTTTTACTAGCGGGCGAAAACTTTTATAAAACTAGAGGAAATCGCCGAATACTACTACAAGTTCGAGTTTAAACTGCAGAAATTTAGAACTTAAGGCTAAAATCGCGTTCCTTGGCGCTCGAGTTCTAAACTTAAGGGTGCGACCGAACAGCTCCTAAAAAGTGCGCTAACTGCAAGAAAAACCACTTAGTATATAGTGCTAAATATAGTATAAAAAAAGGGGCCTAGCTATAGGCTATATTAAAGAGGTAGGCAACGCTATACTAATATAATACTAATAAAGGGCCGAGCTTATATACGCCCTAGGCCCCGCTAAAGGTATATATAACCTTAACTTAGTCTAGGAAGAAAAAAGCTGCTAATAATAACGTATATAAAGGCAGTATAGAACTAGGGCCAGCACTAATAGTACTAAAAAAAGTAGGATAACCGAAGATATTTAAGCATCCTAATAAAAACCTAAGCTAGCCAAAGATTAACAGAATAATATAGACTGCTTATTTAACGCAGTAATCTTCCTATCTAACGCCTTCTTAGATACTGTATACTTCTCGCTTTATATTACTATTTTTACAGCCTCTAACCTAGTTAACTTAATTAATAACGTATAGAGATATAAATAGACTTTTATAACTTAAAACTATTACCTAAATACCGTTTTTATAGGAAAATAATATAAGCTAGCAACTATACGCTAAAATAGGTGCAGTAAACGCCGTAGATACTATAGATATAGTTTAATATTAGAACAACCTAGTATACTTACTATTATATAGTATAATATTAATAAAAGCCGCGAGACCTAAAGGGAGTTCCTAGAAAAAGCGGAGAAAGCCTAGCCTTAACTGCTAGTGCTAGCAATATAAAAGCTATAGAAGAATATATAGCAATAAAAGTATATAATACTCTATATAAAGTTCTATTACCTTTTATATAAAGGAAGCCTATATATAAAAACGTATATATATATTAATAAAAACCTTAATATTAACTAGTAGTTAGTAGAGCACTACTTACCGGACCTTATTACCTTCTCTTTCTATACTAGTAGAGAGGACATCTAAATTTATAATATCTACAACCCGAAACTAAATAGAATTATAGCTGCACTACCCCTACTGCTAAATAATAACAACGCGGAGCATGTTTTTATAGGTAATATAAACCTATATTACCTATTATAGGGAGGAATATAAGTAATAAATACGGAGGAGCAAGCGGAGGAGCTTATCCGTATTATAATAGAAGCAGGAATAGACCTAGCTATAAAGAAAGGTATAGAAATATAGGTAAGAGGAATATTATAGTCTATAATTAACCTTATATTTATAATAGAATAGCTAATAAAATAAACTACTTCCTATATAGTGTAAAAGGAATAGAACTGCAATTTAGATTACCGCCCTATATATATAGAGTTTAATATTACCCTACTAAGCGCAGTAGAATAGCTATAATATTAGCTGTAGAAGAATACTAACTAGAAAAAGGCGCAAGAGCACCTCTAAACCTAGCTAGATAAGCTAGATAACTAGAATAACCTTTAAAATATAGAGGAAAACCTTAATAAATTTGCACGCCTTCTCTATAAATATATACAGGCTATAATTGCTGCTATAGTGCCTATTATAAGGCTATTAAAACAGGCATCGCCGGTATTATTAGAAAAAAGCTTAAAGGAAGTATATAAAACTAGGAGGGCGTATAGAATATAGCGCTTATCGCGATCTATAGAGGACTAGATATTATACTATATCTAGTATAACTATAAGAAAAAAACTATATAAAAGAAGAGTACTAAGGCGTGGCGCTATATAGTAGAGAAAGTAATAAAAAACCTAAAAAGTATATAAAAGCTAGCTAATTAGGGCTGTATAGCTAGTAAGAAATTAAAACCTCCGCCTTAATTTCCCCCTTTTTTAAAACCTAAGAACCCTACTCTATATATAGATAATAAAATAAAAGCACGTATACTAGTAGAGTAGTTCTTTCCGCCTCCGGCTAATATAGATTTATCTAACCTAGAAAGGTTCTAATACCCGGAACTATATAATACTATACTAGATATTATAATTAAGAATATTCTTTTAGTGCTAATAGGAACTGCTCTAGATAAAGCTTTAGGTATTATAGGAATTACTAACAGGTTTCTTAAGAAGTGCAAAATATAGCTAGCGTCTACGCTAGCTTAGTTTTTTATAAGGTGCCTATATAAAGGACACTATTTTTAGCCGTTTAAAAATTCTATTATAGTAGTGCTATATAAGCCCTAGAAAGCATTCTATATAATAGTAAAGGCCTATAGGCTAATTGCCCTGCTAGAAATAATAGGTAAGCTATTTAAATAAATTATAGCTATGCGGCTATTAAAAATTGCGGAAAAAAAGAATATACTTCTACCTAGTTAGATAAGGGCATAACTAGAATATTTAATATAAATAGCACTTAAGCTTTTTACTAAATAAATCTACGCTATATAGAAAGGAAACCTATAGCTTATAGTATTACTTTTTAGCCTAGATATATTAGAGGTATTTAACTATATATTATATAAATATATAATATATAACCTATAGATTTAATAAGTACTAGAGTAGATAGTTAGGTTTATAAGGTTCTTTCTACAGAACCGCACTATAAGGCTTACTATTAAAAACTTTATAGCAGAACCTATTACAGTTACTATAGGAATACTGCAGGGCTTCTTCCTATTACTAATACTCTTCTTCTTTTTTACTAGTATACTTCTACTAATACTATAGCGCGGTAATATAACAGCCTACAGGTTTATTAATAATATAAATATTCTTATATATAGCAAAAGTATAGAAAAGAACTATAGAGCTATTAAACAGGCGCACAACCGGTATATAGAGTGGGTAAGAAAGTATAGAGCAGTCTTTACGCTAGATAAATACCACCTAATATACTTTATAAAAGCCTGCAAGTTTATTAATATAAAAGCTATAGTTAATATATAAGGCTTTACTAAAGGCCCTATAATAGACCTAAAAATACTAAAGGTCTAGGTAGATTCTAAACTTAAATAGGGCCTGTATATTAATACTATAAAAAATAAAGCTATAGCCTAAATAGGGGCCCTTATAAGGCTTACGGTGTTAACCTAGGGCGTAAGCTTCTAGAAGGCATATATAATATACTCGGCGGTTATTAGGCCTGCTATTATATATAGATATACTTTCTAGTATACTATACCGGGTATAAAAGAGCAGATTAGTAAAATAAAGATTAAGCAGCTTAAAATAGTATAGAACTAGTGCCTTTATACTATTTTAGGGGTATATAAGACAATAAATATTAGGGTAATAGAGTATAAAATATTATGCCCTCTACTCCGGCTAAAGCTGGAGAAACTTACAGTAGCCTACGCGGACCGCATATATAAGGGGCCAGCCCGCGAGTATATTAAAACCTAATACAGCCGTATAAAAAAAACAGTCTATACTAAATATAGGCTAAAAGGAACACTACGGTACGGCCTAAGCAGGCGCAATAAACTTTGTAAGCTTGCGGCAAAGGTATTACAGCTAGCTATATAATATAAAGGCGAATCGGAAGAATCCTATAGGCGCACGAGGCGTGGTATAATCTAGGATAAATATAAAGAGAAGTAGAAGAAGAAATAGGAAGCCTACTATAAAAAACTACGCTAAAAACCTCTAATACTAGCACTTAATACTAAATAGAGCAAATAATAAAAGGTACTATATAAAGGACTTATAAAAGTAGAGAGCATAATTATTACAAACCTATAGATAGAGTATATAGGGCTTAACAGTTACCTCCACCGTATAAAAGTACCCGGCCACCTAACGCCGGCATGCCCTTACGGGCATAGCCTTTAATCCCTAAAATATATTATAATAAGTTGCGGAAAACACGTTAAGGGCAGGGGCAAGCTATTCTAGAAGGCTAAAATAAGGACGTATAAACAGCTCTATAGAAGCTAGAAAGAAAGAAAGGCTGTGGCCTAATAGCTCCTCTAAAGAACGGACCTTCTGCTATACCTCTCGGCGGCTAGAAAAATAGTAGAGGCGGAGACGTAGGTACTTTATCTTCTATAACTTTATATAACTATATATACTACGTATACTACGTATACTACGTATACTGCGTATACTATATATACTATATATACTATATATACTGCGTATACTATATATACTACGTATACTACGCATACTATATATACTACGTATACTACGTATACTACGTATACTATATATACTACGCATACTACGCATACTACGCATACTATATATACTATGCATATAACGCACACTACGTATACTACGTATACTACGTATACTACGTATACTACGTATACTACGCATACTATACATACTATATATACAACGCACACTACACATACTACGCACACTACGCATACTACGCACACTACGCACGCACAGCGCCACCGCCGCCTATATCACGCACCTACCTAACAGCTGTATCCGCCCGTCTACCGCAGCCCCTATATATATCGCAGCCTATACAGCACTACCCCTATATATATTATTCAATTTAAGGACCAACGCCTTAACGAAGGGCACGCGTGCGAAACGACAGCACGCGTGCCCTCACGCTAATCCTAAACCAGCTCACTACTCCGGAATCAACTCGACCCGCGCCTAGGAGGACGACTGCAAAACCCGGACAGATTTAGGAAAACGCATCACGATAGCTTATTCCGTGGTGGACTTAATAGATCTACCACGTGTCCCCAATAGCTATACAACAACGAGAAGAGCGCTCAGCGCTATACGCCGCAGAGGACGGGGTTTTCATCCGAACGCTGCATGGCAGCAAACGGTTTCTCCTTGTAAACTAGCCTAGATAGAACAGCTGTATAAACCCTAACAGGAGCTACACCAGCGTAATAGAATTTAATAATAATAATAAATAATATCCTTTTTTATTAATTAATTATTCACGCGCAAATATAAAATTTATATATTCCCCCTTTAATTAACCCGATATTTTACCTATATTAATAATTCCAATTCTATCTAGACTATTATATATACTGCGGTTATTAATATAGCTATAGGCTTATATATAGAGCAACTAGTCTGCTATATTACTAACCTAGGCTATATTCCTATAGTTCTAGAAACTAACTAGTATAAAACCTATAATCTAGAAATTAATTTTATTAAGAAAAGCTTTTATTTCTATTAATTATAATACTAAGATCTTTACTACTATTATAATAGCGTACTAGCTAAGATCTTTTATAAGGGAGCCCCCTTTTATATTACTAGACCTACTAAACTTTAATCTATATTTTTATACACAACGTTTATTAGTTCTATAGAACGCTATATTTAATAAGCTAAACCTAAAAACCTTTTCTAGATTTATAGACCAGAATCTATTCCAGCGCTAGATAACTTCTTATTTAACACACCGGCTATTAGATATATTATTAGTATACTAGAACAGGATAGCACGCTTAAACTTTACGCCCTTTTAGTTAATAAGTATAATAAGTTTATAAAGGAATAAAAGATATACTTACCTAATAAGCTCTATTAACGGCTAGATAAATACTTTCACCCCTAGGTTAATATATAGTTGCGCTAGAAGGCCGGCAATTTCCCTTTATACTAAAACTATAACCACGCTATTTTTTTTATAACTAAATATAATACTGCCTAAGTATAAAACCTGTGCAGTATTAGAAGAAAAAAATTATATTATATATAAGAAGCTATAAAAGCTGCTTAGTAAAGGCTTTATTAAGAACAGCAACTCCTCTATATATATACTAGTACTATTAGTTAAAAAACCGGATAGAATATACCGCTTCTATATTAACTACTAAGGGCTTAACGCTATTACTATTAAAAACTAATACCTAATACTAATTATATAAAAAACGCTTAACCGCCTATATAAAGCTAAGTAGTATATTTATTATTATTAAATTCTATTACGCTGGTGTAGCTCCTGTTAGGGTTTATACAGCTATTCTATCTAGGCTAGTTTATAAGAAGAAACTATTTGCTGCTATACAGTGTTCGGATAAAAACCCTATCCTCTGCGGTGTATAGCGCTAAGCGCTCTTCTTATTATTATATAGCTATTAGGGATATATAGTAGATCTATTAAGTCCACTATAGAATAAGCTATTATAATATATTTTCCTAAATCTGTCCGGGTTTTGCAGTCGTTCTCCTAGGCGCAGGTCGAGTTAATTCCGGAGTAGTAAGCTGGTTTAGGATTAGCGTAAGGGCACGCGTGCTATTGTTTCGCACGCGTGCCCTTTATTAAGGCGTTGGTCCTTAAATTAAATAATATATAAGGGGGTAGTACTATATAGGCTGCGATATATATAAAGGCTGCGGTATATAGGTAGATATAGCTATTAGGTAGGTGCGTGATATAGGCGGCGGTGGCGCTGTATATGCGTAGTGTGCGTAGTATACGTAGTATATATAGTATGCGTAGTATACGTAGTATATATAGTATGCGTAGTATATATAGTATATATAGTATACGCAGTATACGTAGTATATATAGTATACGTAGTATATATAGTATACGTAGTATATATAGTATGCGCAGTATATATAGTATATATAGTTATATAAAGTTATAGGAGGTAAAGTGCCTATATTTCCGCCTCTGCTATTTCTCTAGCTACTAAAAGGTATAGCAGGAGATCTATCTTTTAGAGAAGCTATTAGGCTATAGCCTTTTTTTTTTTCTAGCTTCTATAGAGCTGTTTATACGTCCTTATCTTAGCCTTCTAGAATAGCTCGCCCCTGCCCTTAATATATCTTCCGCAACTTATTATAATATATCTTAGGAATTAGAGGCTATACCCGCAAGGGCATGCCGGCGTCGGGTGGCCGGGCACTCTTATATAGTAGAGGTAACTGTTAAGCCCTATATACTCTATCCGTAGGTTTATAATAATTATGCTCTCTACTTTTATAAGTCCTTTATATAGTGCCTTTTATTATTTGCTCTATTTAGTGTTAAGTGCTAGTATTAGAGGTTTTTAGCGTAGTTCTTTATAGTAGGCTTTCTATTCCTTCTTCTACTTCTCTTTATATTTATCCTAAATTATACCACACCTCGTGCGCCTATAGGATTCTTCCGATTCGCCTTTATATTGTGCGGCTAGCCGTAATACTTTTACCGCGAGCTTACAGAGTTCGTTGCGCCTGCTTAGGCCGTACTATAGTATTCCTTTCGGCCTGTATTTAGTATAAACTGTTTTTTTTATACAGCTGTATTAGGTTTTAATATGCTTACGGGCTAGCCCCTTATATATGCGGTCTGCGTAGGCTACTATAAGTTCCTCCAGCTTTAGCCGGAGTAGAGGGCATAATATTTTATACTCTATTACCCTAATATTTATTGTCTTATATACCCCTAAGATAGTATAAAGGTACTAGTTCTGTGCTATTTTAAGCTACTTAATTTTTATCTTGCTAATCTGCTTTTTTATACCCGGTATAGTATACCAGGAGGTATATCTATATATAATAGCAGGCCTAATAACCGCCGAGTATATTATACGTGCCTTCCGGAAGCTTACGCTTTAGGTTAACGCCGTAAGCCTTATAAAGGCCCCTATCTAGGCCGTGGCTTTATTCTTTATAGTATTAATATGCGGGCCCTATTTAAGTTTAGAATCTACCTAAACTTCTAGTATTCTTAGGTCTATTATAGGGCCTTCGGTAAAGCCCTGTATATTAACTATAGCTTTTATATTAATAAACTTGCGGGCTCTTATAAAGTATATTAGGTGGTATTTATCTAGCGCAAAGACTGCTCTATACTTTCTTGCCTACTCTATACACCGGTTATACGCCTATTTAATAGCCCTGCAGTTTTCTTCTATACTTTTACTATATATAAGGATATTTATATTATTAACAAACCTATAGGCTGTTATATTACCGCGCTATAGTATTAGTAGGAGCGTGCTGGCGAAGAAGAGGAAAAGTATTAGTAATAGGGAGAAGCTCTGCGGTATTCCTATAGTAACTGCAATAGGTTCCGCTATAAAGTTTCCGATAGTAAGCCTTATAGTGCAGTCCTATAGAAAGGACCTTATAAACCTAACTATCTACTCCGGCACTTATTAAATCTATAGGTTATATATTATATATTTATATAATATATAGTTAAACGCCCCTAATATATCTAGGCTAAAAAGTAATACTATAAGCTGTAGGTTGCCTCTTTATATAGCATAGATTTATTTAGTAAGGAGCTTAAGTGCTGTCTATATTAAATATTCTAGTTATGCCCCTATTTAACTAGGTGGAAGCATATCCTTTTCTTCCGTAATCTTCGATAGCCGCATAGCTATAATTCGTTTAAATAGCTTACCTATTGTTTCTAGCAGGGCGATCGGCCTATAGGCCTTTGCTATTATATAGAACGCTTTCTAGGGCTTATATAGCACTACTATAATAGAATCTTTAAACGGCCGAGGATAGTATCCTTTATATAGGCACCTTATAAAGAACTAAGCCAGTATAGGCGCTAGCTATATTTCGCACTTCTTAAGAAACCTATTAGTAATCCCTATAATACCCGGGGCTTTATCTAGGGCAGTTCCTATTAGCGCTAAAAAAACATTCTTAATTATAATATCTAGTATAGTATTGTATAGTTCTAGGTATTAGAACCCTTTTAGGTTAGATAAGTCTATATTAGCCGGAGGCGGAAAAAACTACTCTGCTAGTATACGTGCTTTTGTTTTGTTATCTATATATAGCGTAGGGTTCTTAGGTTTTAAAAAAGGGGGAAATTAAGGTAGAAGTCTTAATTCCTTACTAGCTATATAGCCCTAATTAGCCAGCTTTTATATACTTTTTAGGTCTTTTATTACTTTCTCTACTATACAGCGCTACGCTTTAGTACTTTCCCTTTATATAGTTTTCTTTTTATAGTTGCACTAGATATAGTATAATATCCAGTCTTCTATAAATCGCGATAAGCGCCACGTTCTATACGCCCTTCTAGTTTTATATACTTCCTCTAAGCATTTTTCTAACTATACCGGCGATACCTATTTTAATAGCCTTATAATAGGTACTATAGCAGCAATTATAGCCTGTATATATTTATAGAGGAAGCGTGCAAATTTATTAAAGTCCTTCTCCGTGTTTTAAAAGTTATTCTAGTTGTCCAGCTCGTCTAGCTAGATTTAGAGGTACTCCCGCGCTTTCTTTTAGTTAGTATTCTTCTACAGCCGATGTTATAGCTGTTCTACTGCGCTTAGTAGAGTAATATCGAACTCTATATATATAGGGCGGTGATCTAAATTACAGTTCTATTCCTTTTATACTATATAGGAAGTAGTTTATTCTATTAGCTATTCTATTATAAATATAAGGTTAATTATAGACTATAATATTCCTCTCGCCTATATTTCTATACCTTTCTCTATAGCCAGGTCTATTCCTGCTTCTATTATAATGCGGATAAGCTCCTCTGCTTACTCCTCTATATTTATTACTTATATTCCTCCCTATAATAGGTAATATAGGTTTATATTACCTATAAAAATATGCTCCGCGTTGTTATTATTTAGCAGTAGGGGTAGTACAGCTATAATTCTGTTTAGTTTCGGGTTATAGATATTATAAATTTAGATATCCTCTCTACCAGTATAAAGAGAGAGGGTAATAAGGTCCGGTAAGTAGTGCTCTACTAACTACTAGTTAATATTAAGGTTCTTATTAATATATATATATATTTTTATGTATAGGCTTCCTCTATATAAAAGGTAATAGGACTTTATATAGAGTATTATATACTCTTATTACTATATATTTTTCTATAGCTCTTATATTGCTAGCACCAGTAGTTAAGGCTGGGCTCTCTCTGCTTTTTCCAGGAACTTCCTCTAGGTCTTGCAGCTCTTATTAATATTATACTATATAATAGTAAGTATACTAGGTTATTCTAATATTAAACTATATCTATAGTATCTACGGCGTTTACTGCACCTATTTTAGCGTATAGTTGCTAGCTTATATTGTCTTCCTATAAGGACGGCACTTAGGTAATAGTTTTAAGTTGTAAAAGTCCATCTATATCTCTATATATTATTAATTAAGTTAACTAGGTTAGAGGCTGTAAGGATATTAATATAAAGTAAGAAGTATACAGTATCTAAGAAGGCGTTAGATAGGAAGATTGCTGCGTTAAACGAGCAGTCTATATTATTCCGTTGATTTTTAGCTGGCTTAGGTCCTTATTAGAATACTTAAATATCTTCGGTTGTCCTACTTTCTTTAGTGCTGTTAGCGCTGGCCCTAGTTCTATACTGCCTTCGCGTGTATTATTATTAGCAGCTTTTCTTTTCCTAGACTAGGTTAAGATTGTATACATCTCTAGCGGGGCCTAAAACGTGTATAAGCTTAGCCTCTTATTAGTGTTATATTAGTATAGCGTTGCTTACCTCTTTAATATAGCCTGTAGCTAGGCCCCTTTCCTTATACTATATTTAGCACTATATACCAGGTGGTTTCTCTTATAGTTAGCGCACTTCTTAGTGTCTATTACCGTGCATTATTTTATATTATATTCCCCTGCGCATACTATATATTAGATATCCTTCTTATAGTATTTTATAATATGCCTATAGCCCTGGCATCTAAAGTACTATATAGCTATAAAGCCTGCTTTATATTTTAAGGCTGTTACTAATTATCTACTTATTATAAATCCCTTTATAATAGCTTCGTCTACTATTACTTCTGTGCGTATACTGGCAATAATTAAGCTGGCGTATCGGCCTAGGTTCTTTTACGCAGCCTTAATACCCTTTTTATTCTTCTATATTATCTTCTTAATAACTAGGCCTAGGTTAATTATCGTGTTGGCCCTAATAATATTATCTTTAAGTGTTTAGCTTTCTAGATCTAAGTTTTTAAGTACTCTATACACCTCTATTAGCACTGCAGGCAGTTATATACATGCTGTTTTACCTAGCACCTGCACCTATTCCCTTTTTTTAAGCAGTGCTTCCTTTATAGCCTTATCCGTAATATATACCTTAATATCTCTACTCTATAGCTTTTTTATACCGCTAATCTTTATTATATCTAGTGGTCCGGCTGCTTAAAGCTTCTAGGTAATAGTTATATTTATATCTGCTGCAGTTATAGTTTACTTATTATTATCCTTAATATAGATAGTAATTTTATAGACATTTATAGGTTGCCCTATATACTACCTATTTCCTGCTGCCTTCCTATATTACGCAGCTATGCCGCTTAGCATAGCTAATAGTATTATGCCTGCTGCTACTGCTGCTGCAGTATATATCTTCCTATACGTTAACAATGCGTATACCTCCTTTTTTATATCCTCTATTATCTTTATTAGCTTTTTCTATAGTGTCTGCTATAGGTTATTCGCGGTATTTAAAAGGCCGAATAGAACGCGTCCTGCAAAGTTATAGAGGGTTTAGACGATTATATTTATCTTAAGGGATTAGATTAGCTTATTCTATAGGAGGTCTTATATACTGTATACTTTATTAACAAGGTTTTAGACGTCCTAGTAGACGTTCTTAATAGGCTTCGGGTTTTAGTGTTAGTTTTAGCGTTGTTATTATTGTTGTTGTTAATGCTATTACTAGGGCGGCTGCGCGTTAGGGGTTATAATTCGCGGTATACCTACTATAACGCCGCCGGCACTACTTATAGAGCTTTAAGGCTGCGTATAATTGTTTATAGGGCCTTAGATAGCCCCTAGGGGCCCTTTTTAGGTTGTATTTCTAAGATACTATAGGGTTAATTACATCGTGTTTTTTTAGCTAAGTAGTATACTAAGCTAGATATTATCTTTGCTTTTAATTGCGTATGTATTAAACTAGGTAATAAATAGAAAACAGCTTTTATTACGCAATATAAAATATTTTAATCTAAGGTCTTAAGATTTAGTATATATAACAGCTCTAGCACTTTTTAAATATTTATTAATAATATACTATAGAAGTATTAAGACAACTTCTATTTAGCCTATATAGATAATATACTTATATTTACTAATAGAATAGAGGAAAAGTATATTGCGCATATATAAAAGGTACTAGGTTAACTCTATAAGGCCGGCCTCTACCTAGATATTAATAAATACTTAGGCCTTATTATTACTACTAACGGCGTTGAAATAGACCTAGAAAAGATTAAGGCAGTAACTAAGTAGGCCTTTCCTACTTACCTTAAAAATATTTAGGCCTTTCTAAGCCTAGCTAATTTCTACAGGCGCTTTATACAGGGCTTTTTATAACTTATTAAACCTTTTATAGATTTATCCCGAAAGGAACTAGATAAATATTTCTATTTTAAATAGATAATAGTGTACTAGAAGGCCTTTAATAACCTTAAAGCAGCGTTTACCACCGCTCTATACCTTAGGCACTTTAACCCTAATCTAAAATTATATATTAAAATAAATATATTAGATTATATTACTGCTAGAGTATACTTCTAACTTTATAAAAATAGTATATAGTATCTAGTAGTATACTATTCCTATAAAATAACGCCGGCGGAATATAACTATAAAATCTATAATAAGAAGTTGCTTACTATTATCCTAGCTTTTAAAGAATAGGAACTATAGTATTAGGGTAATAGACACTAGGATCTGTTACGGTATTAACCGCGATATACCGCTATACTGCGAGCACAGCTGCCTGCTAAGTATACTAGCAAACTTTGCGTGCGCTATATCCTGTATATAGATCTGCCTCTATCCTGCCTGCTTTTAACTTTTTGCCAATTCTCTTAAGCTATTATAACAGCTGTACGTAGCTAT